GGTTTTATTTCTAGCAAAAATGTAGTTGAACTAAAAGAATGGGGTTAGATTTAGAAGTGAGGCTGACCTGTATATGGCCTCTGCTAGGTCAGTGAGCAAAGGCTACTTACAATGATATGAGCTTGCTCCTGGAACTCAACAGATCTAAGGAACATGTGCAACTTACAAGAAAGTTGGGCAGGACTGTATGATAACTAGCCTGTACTTGCAGCACAGAAAGGACTCTTCTCCAGGAAACACCAATGCGAATATGGCTGTGGGCCGGGATTGAGCTATGTAGTTCACTTAGAAACTATTAAGCTGAGAAAATTGAAAACTGCCTATCCATTACCCCCACAGTAAAACTTGTAAAAGAAGTGGCTGTCTCTTTACATCTGCGGTTTACACTAAGGCTGGTGAATGTTTTTTTCCTCCAATGTTTCAATCCTCTTTTAAACTCCCGTACATGCCTCTAGTAAGGAGGTGAAGATGAGTCTGGCCTTACAGAACAATGGCAGTCCCTGTCTTCATCTCAGCAAATAAGTCAAGCATGTGTTGAAGAGGAGGCCAAACACTGAGCTTTCAAAAAGTAATTTCTGTTAAAGTGGAAACCAGTTTTTAGTTAAATGTGCATTTACACTTTAGTGAAAAAGCTTTTTTTTTAAGATGAGTCATTATGCCACAGCGAGCAGTGGGACTTTTTCCACCTACAGAGTTCACTCTCAAAGCCACCTGGTCTTTCTTTGCCAGGTAACACAGACACACACACCATTAACAATGGTTCAGTACCAGCATCCCCTCTGCACGCCAGGTCTATCAAAGTCCACACTGCACGTTTAATCTCTCAAGCTGTCAGTTGACATTCTTCCCAGGCTGCATCGATGAACGCTTGATATTGATTATAATTTTGCAGTGTAAATTTTTGTCTTCTGTTTATTGCCTTTTCCATTTTCTGTGTGTCAATTCCCTCTACAGTTCTTTTTAGCTTGGAAACATTTTTTTCTTTAATAAGCAGGGATAAGAAAGGTCAAACCTATATTTTATTCTGTGTGATTAAAAGATAATACTACAGTTTCTTATTTAAAAAGAAATGTTCAATGCAGTCAACCACAATGCATTCAATCACAACTCAGACACTAATGGAAAGTGAAATGGGTAAGACCAGGAGGAGAGTTATGGCAGGTGGAAAAGAGATTCCTCTCATGAACATTTTTCTCTGTATTCAAATGTAAAAGCCATTTAAAGTGCATGTTTACAAAAGTCTGGACCAGTTCGTCAGTGACACAATAGTGGAGTCAAAAACTGGCCACATCAGAAAGCCTACAAAAAAGAAGCCTTTCTCAAAAGAGACTCCAACCTGTTATCTGTTGGATCCTAAGTGTGGATGGCTGTCGCCTTCTTAACCTCCTTGGCGGTATTCCAGAGTGTGGCTTGGGGTTAATTTTCTGTACCATAAGTGGTACCCCCGAGCCACACTCGGGAATACACAGCGCGTCTCTTACCTTGTCCCTCGATGCCGGCATCCGTCTTCCGGGTTCCACGTCGCAGGGGGGCGGAACTGGCGGGAGATTCAAAAGTTTTAGAAAAAAAACTAAAAAAGAAAAAATCATACCGCCAGGGAGGTTAAGGTGAGAGACAATCGAATACACAGAAGGTGAAGTAATCTATCTCTTAGGCAAACCCTAAGGAAAGGGATAGAGTACTGAAAACACCTGGGAAAAAGAGCTATCAGTCTCTTTCCATTGCTTAAACAACAATCATCAAAATGAGGATGAATTGGAAGTCTTAACATAGCATTAAAGTGACATTAAAGGCTAATTTATTTTTCCCTCCCCCCAATGTTAGTGTAGTGACTTAACTTCAATCATGCCTCTTAAAGGAGAACTATTGAGTTAAGGCTTTTCCCCATAGTTCTCCTAAGGGTAACGGGAGGACACAAACTAGCGTCCTCCCGTCACCCTAGGCTCAGTATACCGCAAGCTGTAGCTTGCGGTATACTGAGACGCCGCAGTAGAAGAGACTAAAAGCCTATCAGCACAGACCTGGTGCATGACCTTTGCATGGTACTCAAGTATTCTTCACGGGAGCCACATTTTTTTATTTTTAAAAGTTTGTTCATCTCTACTTCTACCCTGTGTTTTTTCCATCTATTATTGCAAAGGATTGGGGGAAAAATGATTCCCTTTAGAAAGATGTTTCAGTCTCTGGAAGAAAGATTCAAACTACCAACACCATGTAATTCAAGAGTAATCTATGTTTCATGCTTCTTTTATGACATACAAAGAAATATCTTGACACAATACTTATGATTTCATGATTAGCAACTACAAGGTTGTGCTAATATTTTGCTCACAAATAAGGCATACACCACTGCTTTTAATATTGAAAAGTGATGTAATCTCTGCTTGCCATTTATAAGTAGCAGAAGAAGACCTAAAAAAAGCCTAAAACTATGAACTCTATTGGGTTCAATTGCAGTTGTGCAACAAGCATAAATCACTTTGAGTTAATAATACCCCCCGGCCTGCTAGAAAGTAATTGGAAACAAATACTTTTACCTACTGTACCATTAGAAAGTCATTAGTGCTTTTAACTCTGTTGAGACTTAATTATTATATTTATCAGTACCTCCTGAGTGAGATCAAATAAAGTGATGGGTTTATCTTTATTTTAGCTCATCCTTATAAGGATAGTTAGTAAAAAAAAAAAGAAAAGAAAGGTGAAATTTGATTGAAAATAAAGTAATTTAAAAGGATAATGATAAATGCTCACCATCTTATTAAGACATGGATAATTTTGTTCTAGATTCAACAGTGAGTAACCATTGGATATATATAAAGGTTTTACATCTTTACATCAGAGTCAGTAAGTACATGGAAGAACTGTAAAGTCAGGTTCTTGTGTTAAGTAAACCTGTCATAAGATAAATATAGAAGCAGTCATTGCTTACCTCCTGGAATTGCTAGCCGGTTGACTGTTATACGGACCCTTTGTCTTTACTACTGTCTGGGTCACTGACAAGAATGCAGATCAGGAAAGTCAGATGTCCTTATTTGCATACTTTTTCAAGATCAGTGACTGCAAATACTAAAGCAAAAGGGTCAGCATGACAACCAGGCTGCCAGCATTTTCAGCATTCAGAAGAAATGGTCAGCAATGGCAGCTTCATAATTCTCATTGTAGACAGCAATCCCTCATTGTAAAACCACAGGTCAAACAGCTAAATATGTACATATTTTTACCTTCAAGATTTGTAAATTTTCTAGCCATTCTTGTGATATACATCCCAGCAGGTCAGGATAATTACTCTTCTATTGATGTTTTCTGGGTCAGATTAAGCCCTCATTCACAATGAGCATTTTGTTGTACTTTTTCTGCTTGAAAAAAAACGCCCCCCAAAAAATAGACTTCAATGGAAACGCTCAAACGCAGTGCTGTGTTTTTGCAAATGTTTATGCGCTTTGAACATGAGTTCGTCCATTTACATCAATGTGTCACAATCTGCTCACAAAAATGCACGACTGTATGCATGCGTGTTTTACACACGAAAAATGTGCAAAAACGTGCATGAACAAGCTTCCCAAAACGCGTGTTTGATAGTGATGGTATTGTTTCTATGTCACCATTCCAGGGCTCAAAATTTCCAGTCCTAAGCTACTAGCCAGGCCTAAAAGTTACACACAGTACAGAGGTTAGCGGTCAGTATGTAACGCAGTGCAGAGGTCACAAAGAAAGTACAGGGACTTACAGTTGCTTTGACCTCTTCTTCTCCTGGTGATGGTGGGGGAGCAGCAAGGTTTCCTACACATCCAGCCGGCTCTCTCTTCTGCGCAGCAGAAGCCGGCCAACTGCAGTTTGGCAGTCTTCCTCTCCCACCAATGGCAGCTGAGGTGGGCGGTGGCTGCCGAGGATACCAATCGAAGCGGGCACAGACGATGGCAGTCAAGCTTCTTATTCTCTTCTCCCCGCCGCCACAGTCTTAAAGTCAGAGCAGTTTTAAAGAGGCCCCCCTCCCTGTCCACATCTTTCGGACGTTATTAATCTAAGTTGACTCACTCAGTATGCCCGTCACTTGCGGTCATATTGAGTGGGGCACTAAGATTAATAACGTGCTTGATTAGTCTGACCCAGGGGCGGACTGGGCCTGGGGGCAAGGTGGCAATTGCCCCCCAAGCCTCTCTGATACCTTTGCAAACTGATCCCACCAGGCTGCGTCCAGACGTGACCAGGCTGCGTCCAGACGTGACCAGGCTGCATCCAGACGTGACCAGGCTGCGTCCAGACGTGACCAGGCTGCGTCCAGACGCGACCAGGCTGCGTCCAGATGTCACCAGGATGTATCCAGATGTCACCAGAGCTGAATAGAGATCTCACCAGAGCTGAATAGAAATCTCACGAGAGCTAAATACAGATCTCACTAGGCTGCGTTCAGAATCTGGACGCAGCCTTGTGACTTCTGGACTCCAGATCCCACCAGGCTGCAAATAAATCTCACCAAAGCTGTGTACAGATCTCACCAGGCTGCGTACAGATCCCACCAGGCTGCGTCCTGTGCTGTGCTGAGCCTGCTCTATGGGCGCGTAGTGAGCCGAACGGAGTGAGTGCCGGTCTTGTGCCCGCTCCGAGGCCCGCTCCGAGGTGTGGGGCTGCCTGGAGCAGTGCCTGCACCAGGAATAAGGAGGAGGAGATCTGGGGCCTGGCAGGCAGTGTCAAAGACAGCTACTGCCAGGTCCCATGAAGGCTGCTTCAGGACCCCACAAGCGCGAGACCTGAGGCGGCTGATCCGATTTAAAAATCGGATCGGCCGGTATTGCCCTTCAGTATCGGAGCATTTTCATGAGTACAAGGACTCGTGAAAATGCCCCGTGACGGCCCCGATATATAGTTCTCATTTAGCGCATGAGGGAAGCTTAACCCCTTAAGGACCCATGATGGAATTATTCCGTCATGGGTCCTTATGGCACAGACAACCATGACGGAATAATTCCATCATTGGTCCTTAAGGGGATAGATATTAGAAGATCAGATAACACACAGAGCTGAATGAGTGAGATGGGAGGCGCACTCCCCTCCCCACATTTAGCAGACAAATGAGCAGGTGATGCTAGGCTCTACTATAAGGAAGCCCAGAATGCATTGCAAATAAAGTGTCATGAAAGTAGCCAATATTTAATGTTAAATGGATACAAATCAAAACAATAAAATAATTCAGAAAATATCAGCTTTCATACTTGTAAATTGTTAAAAAATAGATCAAATTCACCAAAAGCTAGTAAGATGCTCTTTAACAGCATATTCATATAAAGTTAGAATGTAACAGTTTGACCATTTAAACACGTATGGCATAGGTTGGATAGCATAATAAAATGGTTTGTGCTTGGTCTTTCTCAACAGAACCAGCTATTCAGATATTTTTAAGCCCTTCTTTTTCACTAATAAATTATAACATTAATTATAAATAGACATAATCCTTTGCCAAACCCTTTTCCAACTCAGAATTAACAGCCCTGGTTTGGCAGTTATGACGTGTAGTTTTCCCAAGCCTGATCGAACTTCAGGTGATAAAGAATAAAAATGCAATTTGAAATATACAAAAAAAATCAACAATTTTAGAATTACTAGCAGCACTGACACCAATAAATGGGACAGCTTTGCCCTTACATTATTCTGGGTCTGAATTTTAGGCATCTAAAAATTGTCGTTTAACTGTAAAGCCCCCCACCCCAGAGATAAGACTGGTGATGCAAATATTATGCTGTTGCGGCCATGCTAGTGATATGCCATACTATGTTGGAATCAACATTGCTGTGCTACAGGAGCAGTTGGAGCCATGGTTCTCTAGGCTTGTTATAAACATTTTTTAATTATTATTTTGAGTAGATTGGTGAAGGGTTACAACCATTGTCAGATTTTTATGGTTAATGTTAGCTATGCAAATATGCAAAAGGGCAACTACCTAGCAACTACCTAGCATTAAGAGTGCACTAATCTTGAGATAATGAAAAAGAAAATATATATAATTTAGAAGTCGACTTTCAATCTAAAAGCCAGAAATGTAATTAATAGAAGCACATTTACTGCGGCTACTTAACATTAAGAACATGAAAGGCAATGGAACGCACCTCCAGCACTGTTAATGCAGAGAAGGTGTATTGTGCAGTACAGTGCATTCATTTTACAGTACCACTGTGAATGGGCCCTGAATGTAAATTTACCAATCTCTTAATATTCACCGCCCCTTTGGTCACCTTCACTTTGCCTGCCTGGCTGAGAAAATGTCAGTGTTTTTTTGGTCAGACAGTGTAAGGACTCTTTCTCTACCCTGACATGACAGTACTAAATTGTGAGGCAAGAATCGTCCTTCCAAGACCCAGCCCCAGCGTCCTGTACAACTGGTATACTGAAGGGTCCACTTTAAAGGAAATGGTAATCATTCTGCATCAGTTTTATTTTAATTTGTGTTTTGCTTACACATTTTTAAAAAGAAGTATTATATATTTTGATTTATTCAAAATCATATAATTTTATACAGGTTTCATCAATAGCACTGGCTTTGCTGATTGATGCATTCTTAGTCTTCTAAAGAGACAGCCCACCATTAACTTTTCACTTTGTGACTGTCTCTTTTTTATGAATCTTTATACAGCCCTTTATGAACAAAGCAGGCAGGGAGGGATTGAGTCACTCCCGATTTATTAAGCTGTGTTTTTAATTTGAGTATCTGCTGTTCAGGTCTATAAACACCATTTATTTTTTATTAAAGCAGTCAAGGTTAGCTTGGTAAACATTTGAAAAAGAACCAAGAGCTTTACTTGCTCAGCAAAAACCATAAATATGAAATACTGGTATGCAATACTAAAATCTGAACACTGTGTAAAAATTGTACTTTTAGCCGTGAACTTAAAATAATATATACAGTCTTGATCTCAGCACTGATGGATCCTCCAATAGTGGCAGATTATCTCATTCCTAGGAGCTGCTCCTCAGGGGATCGGGGATTCCCGCCTCTCATATAAGCAAAAATACAGAAACACAGAGCACCACCTCTAAGTGAAATACTATTTATTCAAAGTAAATTAAAAACAAACCAATGTACTCACAAACGTAAGAAAGGCACTTTGAAAACTCATGGGTGCTTGCTGCAAGGCCACCAGCACCTATCATGGGATCATTCACTCCCTAACATAACAAACAGAGGCCACCGATCACTCCTGTCACAAAACCTGGCCGCTGTGTGCTCGGGCTGATGTGTTTCTAGGGCATGCTCCCTCCTTCAGAGTCACAGCTAGCACAATGAATGGGGGAGTTTAAGATAGAAAAACAGCCAATCCTGATTGAGCAGACATGATGACATTATTGGCAAAAAATTATTGGTCTAAGGCATTCGCCTATCAGAAAACACAGCTCCCGGCTTATACAGAGCATACTACCCTGACTGGACCTGCAAGCCATCATATTGCTGCTCAGAACTCCAAGATTAATCAGGCAGCTGCTATTCTCGACTGTCAGTATGAGGGAATTAAAGAATATCATACGCCTGATAAATTTTGGAGTTCTGAGCAGCAATATGACGGCTCGCAGCTCTGGCCAGAGTATGCTCTGTATAAGCCGGGAGCTGTGTTTTGTGATAATGTTTTGCCATGTCATCATGTCTGCTCAATCAGAAATGGCTGTTTTTCGATATTAAACTCCCCTCATTCACTCTGCTAGCTGTGACTCTGAAGAAGGGGATTTGCCCTGGAAATGCGTCAGCCCAAGCACACAGTGGCCGGTTTTGTGACAGGAGTGACCGGCGGCTGCTGTTTGTTATGCCAGTGAGTGAATGATCCCATGATTGGTTCTAGTGACATTGCAGCATGAATGTTCAAAGCGTTGTATATCATACTTTTGTTAAGTACATTGGTTTGTTTTTTAATTTACTTTGAATATATGGTATTTCACTTAGAGGTGGTGCTCTATGTTTTTGTATTCTTGCTTATAAATAATATATTATATACAAACATTTTGCATTCAGTACTGTATATGTGCCACAGACATTTTTTCTTTTATTTATCTTGATGAGAAAGCAAACTGAATTAATTGTACCAGAATGATTTTGAATGTGTGATTTGCAATAAGCTATGAAAATGACTGTTCTTGGTCGTACATTTAGTCAGATTTGTAGACAGATTCTCAGTTAGTGTCCATTTTTACCTAAAGAAAGCTAGTTTTCAAAAGCAATAGCCTGTAGAGATGAAGTATATCATTAAGCTATCAAGTCTTTTCAGTTTTAGGGTTCTATTCAGTTTGTTCGCAAGCAAATAAACACCAATTTTATTTAAATTTTTTTTGTGTGTAATTGCTCTGAATTGACATTTCATTGTCAGTTTTAGCCACATTATTTACATCAGATGGGATTGGCTGAAACCACCTATTATAAAGTTCTTAAACCATCCATTTCCTATTGCTAATGGAAACTAAAATGTGTGGTTGTAATTCTGCTGAACATGTTTTGGAGGTAGCACTGAGACATCTTGTGATCTTTTGATGGGTCGGGCTCCTTATTACACTGCATGATTTTCACTGGCAGTTCGAACTATTTTAATATCTTAGCCAGCCTGCTAAAACTGTAATGCATACACTGACTGTTGCCGAACACAGAGCTGACCCAGCAGCTTTCAGATCATGATCTCTTGATCTTACTTGGTCTCACACATAGCATTTTTAATACCTGCTTACACAGTGAATCCTGAAGGCAATACAATAGATAGTTTTGGATCTTTAGACTTTCCACAACTGACTCTATTGGGTTTATTAGTCCGGATGAATAATAACACCACAGCAAAATTTTTAGGCGTTTAGGGGTTTTTTTTTGCACTTCATTGGCCTTACATAAAGTGGAAACAATAATGCGTTATACTATATTGATTTTTGTGACTTACATGAAAGTAATTTTTATGTGACTTTGACGTTTTTACTTTCTTCATGTTCCATATAGGGATTTATGTATTTTATATACAAGTAATTTGTATGCCAGGCTTGGTGATTATTGGGATTGTACTTAATCTGTTGAGAAAGATTAATTTTATTCTCATGATGCTAAGCTATTTAGATACCTGTTGTTAAACTTCTAATTTTTCAGCACATTGATTTCAGTTTGGGGAAGATGAGAGATAGTTACATTGCTCAGTAGTATGCAATTATTATTGTTTGTGTATGTTAGCCCAAAAAGTTAGTTAACCTAAGGAGAGGCTATTATTTTTAATCTAGTCAGAAGTGACCCTTTGACAAGTGTTAATAGGGAGAAATAGCCTGCTGGAAAAGAGATCACTGTATTAGTCCTTACTATGTAAGTTGCCGCTCGGGGCAGAGATGAGGGCTAAATTTGTGTGGTACATTTCAAGATGCACTTATACTTTAATTTAAATCCAACTCAAACGTTCAATTTGGATAAAAGGGAAAGGTTAGAAGACCTGTCATTGCTATCATATGCCTATTTCACCTTGTATTAGGACAGGTATTTTTAGGGAACAAAGTTAAAAAAATTGTATAGTGAAGAAGGGTTTTTACCTCTGCTTTTATGTTGTCCATCCTGTCCTAGTAATGACTATACAGGCCCTCCTCTCATACTTTCATTTCCTGAATGGAAATTGCAGGGGAAGAAATTAGAAAATATTAAATCTATATTTACATGTTCAACAGCTTTTTTTTTTGCACATTTCTTATGCAGGTTCTGTTACCAGATTAGTTGAATTGCACAGTGACTGTGGTTTCTCACACTTCTCTAAAGAATCCTATGGGTCAGGTTTGACTTGTCTGAAAGCAATAGCCTCAGTCTCAACAGTTGTTTATTAAGGGCGCTTATTACATTCACTGATATATAGTTGAAACTCTAGGGCTTGTTCACACCAAATCCGGACCAGATCTGGACGAGTTTTTGCATATGAAGTGCAGTACATTTTGACGTGTTTTTGATGCGTTCCAGGCCTTTTTTTATAATTTTTTTAGTCTAAAATGGCCTTTCAGGTGTAGTCCAGGTGTAGTTTGCATGTGTTTTTGATGTGTTTG